TTTAACGCTTTGACCACTTCCTGTTTGATTTACAAATCAGTTTCCAACATTGTGGAAAAATAAAGCATTAGATGGTGGTTACATAACCAGCAATAGTTGGAAATCTGAGGTTTTGTTGTATTACATGACCAAAATCCAGTTTTGCTTTCAGAGCTCTTATTGAAAACACTGGTATGCACTGTTTAGAAACACACACACACACACATACTGGCCTATCAACAGGTGCTGGGAGTGTGTTGGGATTTTTAATCCTATTGTGGAGCAAAGCTCAGGTCACGTCCCGTGTTCCACACAGACTCCACCCCTGCTGCAGTCCTATTGGTCCTCAAGCAGCATTTGGTGCCACCCTCATTACCCAAACTGTTGCTCTGCTGCATTCAGGTACTGTGGGAAAAAGGTAAATATAAGCTTCCTAACAAAACGTGTACCTGACTTTATAATACAGTATTTATTGTAAATGCTGTGAGGAGACACGTTGTATTTTTAGACATTATGCAGTGTTCGAGTCATGCAGTACAGTGGGATATTTTATCAATACAATAGATAGTATTCCCATTTAAACTGTTACACTGCAGACACTGTCATTTGTGAATTTAACTAAAATGAAATAAAACTGAGCAAGCTAATTGCATTCGTTTGAATCAAAGTTAATATATTTCACTAAAACTCAACTAAAAACTAAAACAAACAAAAAAATTAATCAGTTTGTAAATACTGTCTTTGGACCACAGCATGACTCTGTCAACTTTGTCCCATGTGACTCGAATGCATCACAACACCAGCTGTCTCGCACCAGGAAGTGGCTTGGGATTGACCTGTGTGTTGGTGTCACAGAGAACAACCCCCTTCATGCCTTGTTAGGAAAGCCGTTTTCCCTCCCTCCCTCCCTCTAACTTCCCTCCCTCTGTCCCTCCGTCCCTGCATTACACTTGCTCTCAGTTCATGTCAACAGCAGCAGCATGCAGCAGCCCGTCTGCTCTCTGTCCTCTGCTCGTTGACCAGGATGAACGCTCTCTGTTCTCTGCTCTGTATCAAATACAGGTAGGGAGGGCCTGGACACACACACACACAC